TCCAGATCCTAGCCACCCTGACAGTGAAGTAGTGCCTCCTGATATCTAGCCTGAATCTGCTCTCTGTCAACTTACGGCCATTATTCCTTGTTACTCCCAGTAGTACTCAGGGGAACAGGGACTCTCCCATTGGCTGCTGGTCTCCCTTGGCCAGTTTATAGATGACCACCAGATCCCCTCTCAGCCTTCTCTTGTGGGGGCTTAGGTGCCCTGCGCCTGAGAACAGGGATGGTAGGGATTAACTCTTGTCTGACCAGACAGTTTAGCTTTATGTTATAGCCCGGGGGCTTTGTGTTTTGTGTTTATTGTTTAACCGGAGGACCGGGTGAGGCTATTAGGGGTTGGAGGAGGCCTCATAGGGACTCCCCAGTAACGTGGGGGTTCCTGGCACTGGAGAAGGCACAGTATTTTGCAGGGTGCATTGGCCTAGCCCCGAGAGTGCAGAGGGGCAGCGAGGAGCCCCGAGAGTGCAGAGGAGCCCCGAGAGTGCAGAGAGGCGGTGAGGAGCCCTGAGGGCAAAAGGAGGGCCGAGACATAACAGGGCCAAAGTCAGATCACACCAGCACCATCTGCGAGGCTTGGGCTGCGGTGTAGGGGAGGAAAAGGAGCTGCAGATAACGCCCCCTGTCATCGGGGCGCATAGAAATGGGCAGCCTCCCGCTAATGACAACAATCTATTAATTAAATAAGATCAAGGTGTGGCAGGCGAGTAAGCAGGCAGTTGGCCCATTAGAGGAGGGCGGAGCCAGACCCGGAGAGGCTCCAATAGTGGCACTCCTGTCACAGGGCTGAACAGGTTCAGGTCCTGTAGCCTGTCCTCGTAGGGCCTGCCCTGCTGCCCCCTGATCATGTGGGTGGCCCTCCTCCGGACACTCTCCATGTTATACACATCCCTCCTGAAGTGCAGCACCCAGAACTGGATGCAGCACTCCAACTACGGCCTTACCAATGTCACATAGAGGGGGAGGATCACCTCCTTTAACCTGCTTGTGATGCACCTGTGAACGCATGACAAGGTGCAGTTAGCCTTCCTGACTGCGTCCCCACATTGGTGGCCCATGTTGATCTTGAAGTCTATAATGACTCCAAGATCCTTTTCTTCCTCTGTGCTGATGAGAAGAGAGTGCCCCAGCCTGTAGGTATGCTGCTGGCTCTTTCTCCCTAGCTTCATTACCCTGCATTTGTCAGTATTGAATCCCATCTTATTCTCATCCGCCCACCCCGTAACCTGTCCAGATCCAATTGCAGTCTATTCCTTCCTTCTAGTGTGCCCACTTCTCCCCACACCTTAGAGTCATCTGCAAATTTGAACAAGGTGCTTTTCACCCCTTCGTCCAAGTCACTGATGAAGATGTTGAACAGTGTGGGCCTGAGAACTGAGCCCTGGGGGACCCCACTGCCCA